GGTTCCCAAACCTAAGTGAGCATCCAAATGTCCTAGAAATTAAAAACAAACAAGCAAAACTTCCTGGGCCTTACTTCATGCTTTCTGAATCAGAATCCCAAGGTTGGAGCCTGATTATCTTTCATTATTTAAAATTTGCTGATGAGAGCCTAGTAATGCTCAACTAGATCAACTGGAAAGCAAATCACTGGCCACCCAGGGTGAAACTCCAAACCACACCCACAGTCTCGCTTCTCCCTCCTGCTGCTCAACTGTGGACACCACACTTGGGATCACTGAAGGAGTTTACCAAAGAAAGATCTTGCTTACTCTGACCTTTCTTTCAGTTCTAGGTGTCTCAGATTCCTGCATCTTCCAACTAAAACATAGGCAGTCAATCAGAAAACAGGAAAAGAAAACAGAAGAAGAGGAAAGAGAAAGAGAGAGAGGGAGGGAGGAAGAGAGAGAGAGAGAGAAACACAAGTGCCAGGAAAAAAAAACCAATCTGCCTTTTTAAATTTCCAAAATAGTATTTGACTTTTTGCTTATGTAAGAGAAGTTGCAGCTGGACAGCCTAAGCCGTGAACGCCCTATGCATCAGGCAAATATGGGCATGTCTGAAGAGAAGCTAGGTGGGTCCACCACAGCTCTTTGCATCGGAAGGGGAAAGCATCCTGCAAGAACAGAGTAGTGGGTACACAAACACTCACTCCAAGATAGCCATGTCACTCTACTCCCAACTCTGTGCACAGTCACCACACGCAAAGCCCTTTGATAATTCTCATAGGGAAGAGGTGACTTTAAGTTTAACTGTACGTGCTATTCCTGAGCCTTAAGGACTATTCCCCTTGTACTTCATTTTGTCATAGTCCTTGGGACTACCACAAGGAAAAGAGTAAGGGGGAAAAAAATCCACATCCCTAAAATCGTGATAGCAAACTGGTTGCAGGCAGTTGCACTGCTTTTTTTTTTTTTTAAAGATTTATTTATTTGAAAGAGTTATAGGTGTGGGTGGGAGGGAAGTTATGGGGGGGGGGAAGCCATTGTAATCCATAAACTGTACTTTGGAAATTTATATTTACTAAATAAAAGTTAAAAAAAAAAAGAAAGTCAGAGTTACAGACTCAGAGACAGAGAGAGAGGTCTTCCATTTGCTGATTCACTCCCCAAATGGCTGCAAAAATGGCCCGAGCTGGGCTGATCTGGAGCTGGGAGCCAAGAGCTTCCTCTGGGTCTCCCACTTGGATGCAGGGGCCCAAGGACTTGGGCCATCTTCTACTGCTTTCCCAGGCCACAGCAGAGAGCTGGATTGGAAGTGGAGCAGCCGGGTCTTGAACCAGCGCCTATATGGGATGTCAGCATTGCAGGCAGAGGCTTTACCTGCTATACCACAGCGCCAGCCCATAACTGCTTTGCTTTAAAGAGAAGGTATGTGGATAGGAGAGTAAAAGGCCCTATGAGAGCATGAGCATGAAACAGCAAAGCACATCATTGTTCGTGGTGAGAAAGGATCACTGGGCGAACTAGGGGTCTGGGACAAGAAAGAAACAGCTGTAGATGCATTTATAAGTTCAGGACATACATTGCTGGATACTTACTGAACTACATGGAAGGAATTTGTAAGACAATGGAGTCACTGAAATTCTGTGGTGGGGCTGAGGACCACATCTCACAAGCATTGGACATCCCATTACAAGATAGGAAACAGCACTTACAGAAAAATGTGGGGGTTTTGAAAGCTGCATGCAGTCTATGCTTCCTTTTCTTGTGTTTATTGGCTAGCAACAAATAAATTCAAACACAAACAGAAAATATTTTTTATTTTTTCCTGGGGTTGGGGTCAGATCAATCACTTAAAAACAGGATTAAGTCACAGTAGTAGGGCTGGTGTAGTGGCATAGTGGGTAAAGCACCTCCTGCAATGCCAGTATCCCATGTGGGCACCAGTTCATATCCTAGCTGCTCTACTTCCTATCCAGCTCCCTGCCAATGGCCTGGGAAAAGCAGAGGAAGATGGCCCAACTACTTGGGTCCCTGCCACCCACATGGAAGACCCAGATGAAGTTCCTGGCTCCTGGTTTCAGCCTGGCCCAGCCCTGGTCATTGAAGCCATCCAGTGAGTGAACCAGCGGATGGAAGATCTCTCTCTTTGTCTCTCTGTTTCTCCCTCTTTCTCCATAACTCTGACTTTCAAATAAATAATCTTTTAAAAGAATCATAATGGTATAATTTGGGAAGTTTTTAAGTGTGCAAAGAATATATAATATTTTAAGCAGAAATGGTAAATCCTTCTGCCTTTTTATAAATTCATGAGGTTGCTGTCTTCCTGTGGCATTTTAATTCACTTATCTTAGAAAATTGGAGCATCAAGAAGTTCTACCAGGCCGGCGCCGTGGCTCACTGGGCTAATTCTCCACCTGCGGTGCTGGCACCCCGGGTTCTAGTCCCGGTTGGGGCGCTGGGTTCTAGTCCCGGTTGCTCCTCTTCCAGTCCAGCTCTCTGCTGTGGCCAGGAAGGCAGTGAAGGACGGCCCAAGTGCTTCGGCCCTGCACCCGCATGGGAGACCAGGAGGAAGCACCTGGCCCTGGCTTTGGATCGGCACAGTGCCGGCCACAGTGGCCATCTGGGGGGTGAACCAACAGAAGGAAGACCTTTCTCTCTGTCTCTCTCTCTCACTGTCTAACTCTGCCTGTCAAGGAAAGAAGGGAGTGGGAGGGGGAAGAAGTTCTACCAAATGCTTTCATCAGCTGGGCTTTAAAGTGAAGATGTATATCTGGTAAAATAATTAAGACAATTTTTTTCAGTGTCATTTCTCAGTTAAACCCAAAACTTACAAAAGAGGCAAAACATTTTCTCTGATAGTCAAGTCTTTTTAGGGCTGAACAGACGGCTGTTATTTGCATAGAGGAGTTGGTTGTTTTCTCTGATTTGCAAGATTCTCTATACTGCTCTGCTGACCTGTTCTCCAGCGCGCCCAGAGTGACACAGTCAAGCCCTCCATAGCTTCAGCAAGTAGAAACCTGACTGCTGCCCGGCACAGTCATCTTGTGCCTCCCAGGCCTTTGCTCAGTCCCTCCCAGTGCGCTCACCGGCAAGGAGGAGCTCCTGGAACACAGAATGGACCTTGAAGGTTGGAAGATCAGAGCTGCCAAAGAAAGTTGGGTGCTACCTGAGATAAAGAGCCCCTCGGCATGCATGATTGTAACATTACCTGCCACAGTGCAGCACTGCCCTTAAGTACTTCTCCCACATGCAGGATTTACGTCCAAAGGTCACACTCACATTTAACAATAAAAGGACATGTTGTGACATTTTATCTTTTGATGTCTCTTAAGAGCCAAAGACAGTGCTGTCATTATATTCTACACAGATAAAATTAATAAATATTTATCAACAGCCATGGTAAAGTTAAAATAAATGTTACATGTTTTCTTATGTTTTGAAGCTAAAATGAAATGAAAATTTTTGAAAATTGCTACACATACGAACATACATACCCCCCCCCTCCACTTTATGATTAAATTTGGTTTCTGCACGTTGTGTTACATATTTCAGTTCACCTGATTAAAAGCAAGCTACATGTCATTTTGGTATCTAAGCAGGACATTTGCCAGGTAGAGTTTTCCCCAATTTCTTTTTTTCTTTTCATGTGTATAATCAAAACACATGATACTGAGAATGGATATTATAGACCTTTTATCTTCTTTGGCCCACTTTTATAGCAACTTGAAATATGAGATTAGAAATAACTTGTCCATAGATTTAACAGGTTCCTCAACTTTTCCCAGTTTAACAATGTCAGATTGTTCAGCGATATAAACCCCTGCCTTAAAGGAAATAATTTACAATACAAATTATATCACAAATTCTAGTTATACCACACACTGGGGATATTTCTTTTCTCTTTAAAAGAAATCCTTCCTGTACATTAAGTCCTCAATCTTAAATCCCCCAAATAAGAGAATTACTAGCGCTGCAAACATTTTCACAAAAAGAAAAGCAACTTACCTAATCAGAGAATTTTTGTTGACAAATGACTCTGGTAGAGACAGGCACATAAATCTACATTTTGTTCAGCTCTTCTTGATTTTATCAGGCAAAACACAGCCTCGGGTGAAAGCTGAAAGTAAAAATCCTTCCATCTACCATCCAGGAGTGGAGCACTGTGCTCTGCTAAGCCCGGGAGCCTCCACACCTGCTCCACCAGCTGCCGCCTCTTGTTTTCCAGCGGCAGTGACCTCCAACACCCATTTAGTGCAGCAACGCTCTGTTAATGGTTTGACGGCACCCGGAACACATCACGTGCCAAGGCAACACCTTAAGAGGGTGGGGAGCTTTGCAACCGGGAAGAGGTGCCAAAAATATTTGGCAGTCAGCTCAGCTGCACATTAGTGTAGCCTTGCTATGCCTTGTTTTTCACAAAACAACCCAACAACATCATGAGTCAAGATGAACTGATTTATACAGTTCCGAGCTGGAGACCCTTGGGAGCTATGCCTCCACAGCTCCAGGAGCTTCCCTCCTGCATCTTACCTGTAAATTCAGGGTAACCACGTGGCAACGGCTGCTCTCAATGTTTCTCATAATAGGAGCTCATTGCCCTCTTGGTTTTAGAATTCTTTTTCCTCCATTCTTTTGGCTCTTCTTCTATTGATTCTCATGGAGTCTTTATACCCCGATTCTCCTGAGGCCATGGACACACATATTCCCCAAAGAAGGAGTCACTCGGAGTTAAACATGAGCGGTGGGAAAATGGTCAGGAGCTATTTCCCAGCTTTCAACCCATCATTCATCAAGTGCACCACCAGGGACCTCTGCAGCTGTTTGGAAGAAGGGTTTTAGGGGAGCCAGTTGCAGGTTCCTGGGAACTTTGTTACTCTGTGAGCTAAATCCTTTTTCTTTTGTTACTACCTGAATTGAAATACTATGAGCAAACATTAAACATTCTGAACACAAAACAGGCTTTTGGCCTCTGATATCAGACACGGAAGGAGCTGTCACATGATCTGAATTTAACTCACCCTTTCTGTCCCAGCGACGGAAGCTTTGAAGTCTCCTTCCTGGACTTTCTGAATGAGAACAGGGAAGCGAAGGATGCTCTGAAGCTCGGTCGAGAAGGAACAGATGTTGGGTTTTTTTGATTAGCTTGGTTTTTAGATCTTGATGTTTGCAATTCCATAGGATCTAAAAATATTGTAAACATTTTACACTGTTAAAATATTCCCAGGCATTGGGCCAGTGCTGTGGGAGACCTGGAAGAGGCTCCTGCTTTCTGGCTTCTGACTGACCCAACTCTGGCCATTGTAGCCATTTGGGGAGTGAACCAGACAATGGAAGACTCTCTCTGCACTCCCCTGCCACCCACCGCCCATCTAACTCTGCCTTTCAAATGAACAATAAAATCCTAAGAAAAAAACATTTCAAAATAAATACAAGGGGTCCTCAAAAAGTTCATGGAAAATGCATATTATAAAAAAACTATGCCTGGTTTTAAATTTTTTTGCATCCAAATAAACTTTTTACAATTTTTATTTATTTGAGAGGCAGAGAGACATAGAGAAAATGAAGGGGTGGGGAGAGAGAGACAGATAGAGACAAAGAGATAGAGAGAGCCTCTATCCATTTGTTCACTCCCCAAATGGCCACAAGGACCAGAGCTGGGCTAGGCCGAAGCTGGGAGTCGGGCACTCAATCCAGGTCTCCCACCTGGCTGGCAGGGATCCAACTACTTGAGCCATAGCCTGCTGGCACCCATGGAGTGGATTAGCAGGAAGCTGGAATCAGAAGAGTAAGGACACTACCTCAGGCACTCCTTATGGGATGTAGGCATCCTAAGAAATGTCTTCACTGCCTTGCCAAACGCTTGCCCCAAACATATCTTTTACTTCTTTCCCACAAACATTTTAAGTATCCTCGTACTAGAACACTTTCGGACATGGTGACTATAAATATTAGAAGAATTCATGGTAAGAGTCAAGTCACCATGGTTTATACGGCATTAATCTAAAAATCTGAACTGTGAGTTTTTTCAGCCTTGTTCACTATGGAAGTTGCAAAATATTGTCAATCTACATTTAGAAATTTTGTTGCATGTTTCATGATGTTACTCTTGTCAATAATATGTGCAAAAGCAGTCAATGTGATTATCAGTAAAAACGATACTTTGCTCCATTTTTGCAATTTGTAATTTCTAATGCACTGTTATGTCACAAAAGTCCTATGAAAGTAGCCTTTACTACCATCATTTATAGATACAAAAATAACTGATTGTTGAAATTAAGTGGCATGCTGGTAGTCACATAGGACATCTATAGAAGGTGTTTATTAGAACTCATTTATGGAGTTCACTAAAGTGCCAGAGGCAGCCAGATGGTGGCAGCTTCTTCTCCTCTCCCTCCCTCTCTCCCTTCCCCCAACCCTCCTCCATCATCATCATCCCATTTATTCAAATATGTTGTGGCTTAATACTTTATACATATAACTATTTAATTCTCAATCACTATATAAGGTAGCGATTATGCTCATTTGAAAATGAGAAAATTGGAGCCAGTGCTGTGGCGCAGCGGGTTAACACCCTGGCCTGAAGTGCTGGCATCCCATATGGGCACTGTTCAAGTCTCAGCTGCTCCACTTCCGATCCAGCTCTCTGATGTGGCCTGGGAAAGTAGTAGAAGATGGCCCAAGTCCTTGGGCCCCTGCACCCACGTGGGAGACCTGGAAGAAGCTCCAGGCTCCTGGCTTCGGATCGGCACAGCTCCAGCCATTGCGGCCAACTGGGGAGTGAACCATCAGATGGAAGACCCCTCTCTCTCCCTCTCTCTGCTTCTCCTCTCTCTGTGTAACTCTTTCAAATAAATAAATAAATCTTAAAAAAAAGAAAATGAGAAAATTGAAATTCATTCAGACTAAATAACTTGAGCAGACTTACATGAATAGACAGAGTAGAGATTTGAATCCAGGCCTTTCTTGACATCGATGTCTATGTTCCTAACCACTATGCTATGTTGCCCAATTCTAAAAACATATTCTCCCCCCAAACATTATTACTGTAAAATGTGTTTCCTTTAAAAAAAAAGATTTGTTTATTTATGTAAGAGGCAGAGTTACAGATAGAGAGAGGAAGAGACAGAGAGAGAGACAGAAGTCTTCCATCCACTGGCCCACTCCTCAAATGGCTGCAATGGCCAGAGCTAGGTCTGTCTAAAGCCAGGAACCAGGAGCTTCTTTGCAGTCTCTCATGTCGGTCTAGGGGCCCAAGCACTTGGACCATCTTCTACTGCTTTCCCAGGCCATTAGCAGGGAGCTGGATCAGAAGTGGAGCAGCTAGGACACTAATCAGTCCCCATACGGAATGTCAGCGCTTCAGATGGCAGCTTTGCCCATTACGCCAGAGTCAGCCCCATCAGTTCAGTTTTTAAAGTGTATGTTGTGTTATAAAACTTTTGTGCCTTATAATAGTCCTAAATTATGAACTAGTTAAATTAAAGATACATGGAATCTTTGTCTATAATATTATGCCACAAGAAAAAGACAAAAAAAATCAGTAAGTTTTTTTCTCACCATTTTTTGCCATCTCCTTCCTTAGCCTGTATTTAAGAGGTTGCTTCAACATTTGGCTAACATCTGTTTCATTGCAAAACTTCTTTCTTTGAATCTCTTCAAACCATTCACCAGTCACCCCCTGAAGCCATCTGATATCCCTCTTTGTCTTCTGAAGTTTGCTGAAATAAAACACAAAAACCAATATACTCTTCAGATTTCAAATTCATTCCCATCCAGTACAAAGTCATGAGAAGAATTAAACCTCACCAAATGGTGAAGCAGCATCAACTATAGCTTTAAAAATTGGATTTCATGAGACTGTCCTTTTCATCATTGCATATATTGCTTGGATGTATTTTTCTAAGCATGATGACAACTAATTTTTTTTGTCAGTAATTAACAGATTCACCAAGTTGATGACTGAGCAATGTGCTAAAACCTAACCTAATAATGTAATAAAATGATAAGATATTTCAATGACTTGTAGAAACTAGAATATTCTAGTCTGTTTACTCATTCATTCATTATTACAGGAAATGTTCATTGAATAATGTTAATTAATTAAATGCTTACTGAGGTCCTGTGTGGGCAATAGAATAGAGAGGATCCCTGCTTGGCCATTCAGTGGTCAAAGATAAAAGAAAAGAAAATCGTTGAGTGTTGTCTTAGATAATGCAATTTTTTATTTTTAAAATTTTTTTAAAAGATTTATTTACTTATTTGAAAGACAGAATCACAGAGAGAGAGACAGAAGGGAGATTGAGATCTTCCATCCACTGTTTCACTTCCCAAATGGCCTCTATGGCCAGAACTGGGCCAGTCAAAAGCCAGAGGCCAGGAGCTTCATCTGGGTCTCCCATGTAGGTACAGGGCCCAGGGACTTGGGCCATGTTCTGCTGTTTTCCCAGGTGCATTAAAATGGAGCTGGATTGGAAGTGGAGCAGCAGGGACTTGAACTGGCACCCATATGGGATTCTGGCACTGCAGGTGGTGGCTCTACCTGTTATGCCACAGTGCTGGCCCCAAATAATGTAATTCTTTAAAGATGAAGACATGAAAACCTGTGAATGGACACAGGGCTAGCATGTGGACATAAGGGACAGTGTGATTTCAGACAGACAGGAAAAGCCACCCAGGGCACAGCTGTGTGTACTCTACCCCTTCAGAGGACCAGACCTGAAATTCTATCATTCCTGCTTTTTTCTTTTCTCCTGCCCTTTTCTGCTTAGTTCTCTCTCAAATGAAAGTACTGCTCTAAGTCCTTAGTTAAACTACTGCTTCTTATGATCTACTGATCTTTAGGCAGCTTATTTTGCTGCATTTTAGGAACACTCTAGAACTTTTCAGAAATGAGAGGCACTTAATCCAGAGGAAGACATCCCTGGCTTGAGGCAAACGGAGGAGAAAGTGAGTTGGAAGAACATGATGACAAGGATTGCCAAGCAGTCTGTTTGGCACAGCACTGATGAAAACAGCTCACTATTGGGTTCTGAGCTTGGGAAGTTCTGATGTATTGGGAAGTAGTTTGTGACCCAGTAGCTGCAATCCTTGATCCAGGGTTTGCTGTAAAGCACGAGTGTGAGGGTCTTCGTATTACTAACACAGTGGTGAGTGAGCAATGTGCAAAACAGCAAATTTGGAGTTAAAGGCAAGGAACTGAGGTGGCTATAACTCATGCTCCTGCTTGGGGCTATGATACTGCTGTTTTATAAAAATATTTGAGAAGGAAGCCAGAGGGCCTCATGCCCAGACTCGCATTTTGAAAAGTATTAGGTAGCAATCGTTACGTTCAGTCCGCAGAATCTGCACTGGTGCTTCCTCTTTGGTCACCCTGTGATACCAGGTCACTCCTGTCACAGCTGCTGCTTCCCTTACTGACAGAACACACTAAGGGGCCCCAACAATCTGCTTCTGATCAACACTGGCTGCCCCCAATTCATTCACACTTGCTTACTGATGTTCAGGTTAGCACACAACCTTTACTTCCTGAGAACACCCCAGCACCACTCTTCTGCTTCTCAACACATACATCTTATTTCAAGAGTCAGGCCACCTACCTGACTTAGGAACACTCTCTATAAACATAACCTATCCATTTTCTCTAGAGGCTTGATGTAACAGTGACTCTCTTTGAAAAATAACTACAGTTCACGTAATCCTAACTCGAGGACCCATTCCATGCTTGTACACAGACTTCACCACTGCCCATTTCTTTTCCATCTTGTGGTCAATGAAGTCATAAATCTGTATTCCCCTGTGAAAACTCAAACACTTTGAATTCTATTGTAGGAAATATATTTTCAACCAATAACCCCACCCCAAGCACATTAATTTAACTGAACATAATGTGGTTGCTAAACTGTAATTATGCAGGCAATGTAGAATCCTGGGGTGAGGCTTATGACACAATACAAAGTAGGAAAAACAAAATACAGTATTTTATCTATGCTTACTGCTATGTAGAAGTGATGCAACCATTTGGACACAGGAGGGAAAAAGAGAAAACAACTGGTCTTTCAGAATAGAATAATTATGTGTCATTTCTATGTTTAGCTTTTTGGGTATGTGTATTCAGTAAGTAGAACATGCATGGTTATTGTTTCTTTTTGCTTAATTGTGGATTTTTGTTTATATTGTCATTTTCCATTACATATTTTTGGAGATAGAGGGAAAAAAAAGCAGTCATATTTTTACAACCCTATCACAATCATGATTGCCTTTTTGCTGAGACTGTTCCTGTGTATTTTTCCATGCAGGTGGGATAAACCTTTTCCCGTATTCATTTGTGGAAGGTTTCCTATGGTGCAGGTGGTGGGATTTAAGGGAAAGCAGAGCAGATATGGCTCTTTCTTGGAGAGTTCACAGTTTAACAGGAGAGAGATGGAATGGAGCAAACAGTGCTAACTTTGATTTAGTCATTCAACACACATTTGAACCCTGGAAAAGAGTAGTGAACAAATCAAGCCCCTGCCCTCGTGGAATTTAAATTCTGCTGTAGTGCGAGTAGGGAAGAGGGGCAGGGAGGAGCAAACAATAAAAGTGTAACTGGTGCTGTGAGAGCACGGACAAGGGGACCGGTCCAAGGCAGTAGCTAAGACTTCCCTGAGCAGATAATGCAGGACTGGAAGGGTGAAGCATGAAGATGCTGGAAGTGGGCAGGGGGAGCTGCCTAGAGAGAGCTTTCTAGGCAAACGAGGGACAGCTGTAGAGCAACAAGTGCCCCGATAAAAGAAGCCAGGAACTGAAATGAGACACTACTGGCCAGAGTAGAGGGCAGGAAAGGAGGACAAACCAGAGAGGAGAAAGGCAACTGCTGGGCCACCCAGAGTTAGGAGCTGGGTTAAGCCAACAGCCCCTGGTCCTGGAGCAGTGAGAAAGTGCTGATGGCTTAGCAGGGAGCATGACACATAGGATTTGCATCTTTAAAAGCTCATCCTAGCTGTAGGTGGAGAGTAGACTCCACTGAGGGCCAGGAGAAGGTCAGATTATTTGTGGGAGGTAGGTAGAGGGGTTTGCTTGGACCAGGACGGAAGTGGTGAAGCCTAGGAAAGCAGAGTGTTCAGAGAGACACAGGGAGTAAAACTGACTGCCAAGCATCCACCAAGTGATGGAGTGACTTTGCAGGGTTAGGAGCTTGTCACATGTATCAAGGAAGACAGTGGATTTCTGATTTTCTATGTGTGTAGACAATGCCATTCATAGGGGAGAGTATTTGCTGCAGCAGTCAAGACCCTGCTTGGGACGCCTGTATCCCATAGCAGAGAGTTTGGGTTCCAGTCCTGGATGCTCTTCCTATCCCAGCTTCCTGCTAAGGTACACCTTGGGAGGAAGCAGATGACAGCTCAAGTACTGGGTACCTGCCACCCACATGGGAGACCCAGATTGAGTTCCAGGCTCTTGGCTTTGGCCTGTCCCAGCCCCAGCTATTGTGGGCATTTGGGAACTAAACTAGTAGATGGAAGATCTCTGTCTCTATGGCTATCTGCTTCTCTGCCTCTCAAATAAAACAAAAATATATTTTTAAAATGTTTGAAAAGAGACCATTCATGGCAGATGTCCTAAATAGCACTCTGGCCTCAGAATTAGCCCTTAAGGCATCCAGATCTGGCTGAAGAGCCCATGAGAATATTTTAGGCATGGAAAGTCAAGACACTCTGGGAAAAAAAAAAAAAAAAAAAAGACCTAAATGAAAGATCTCTGCGAGTGAGATCCCAGTGGAAAGAACGGGACCATCAAAGAAGGAGGCACCTTTCTCTGAAGGGAGGAGAGAACTTCTTCTTTGACTATGACCCTGTTGGAATAAGATCGAAGTCAGCGAACCCAAAGGCTTCCATAGCCTTGGCAACTCATGACTAAAGCCTAGGGAGATTACTGACGCCATAAACAAGAGTGTCAAATTGTTAAGTCAACAACAGGAGTCACTGTGTACTTACTTCTCATGTGGGATCTGTCCTTAATGTGTTGTCCAATGTGAAGTAATGCTATAACTAGTACTGAAACAGTTTTTTACACTTTGTGTTTCTGTGTGGGTGCAAACTGATGAAATCTTTACTTAGTATATACTAAACTGATCTTCTGTATATAAAGATAATTGAAAATGAATCTTGATGTGAATGGAATGGGAGAGGGAGCGGGAGATGGGAGGGCTGCAGGTGGGAGGGAAATTATGGGGGGGGAGCCAATGTAATCCATAAACTGTACTTTGGAAATTTATATTTACTAAATAAAAAAAGAAAAAAAAGAAAAAAGAAAAAAAAAACTTTAAAAAAAAGAGACCAAAGAGACCATTCCTTTTGAAAATGCCATTCATAGAGTTCATATGTATATAATTTCAAAAGCTTAACACTTTATCAAAATCATGTTTTCCATAATTTATTTACTTTCCTCATGATGCAACACATTGAGATTTTTCCTAATAAATACTGCTGCAATGAACATTATTGTGCATTTTCTGACAGACACTGGTATAGAACAATTGGGCAAAACAGTTAAATCATTTTTATGATTCTCTATATGTGCTACCAAAATGCTTTTCTAAAATGGCTGTACTAAGATCACTCATGCTAGCAATATGCAAGACTACCATGAGGCCCTCTTGAAAAACTATGCATTTTTATTTTTCTAGAGTAATATTTTAATGCTACAGTGTTTATTATTGTCAGTAATTGTTTTTCTTTGA